ACAGCCAGTACCACAGTGTTCTTTCTTGAGACAGCCTGTCGCCCAGGCTGGAGTGCAGTGGCGTGATTACAGCTCACTACAGCCTCTGCCCCCTGAGCCCAACTGATCCTCCCACCTCAGCCTTGTGGGTAGCTGGGACGACAGGCGTACACCAGCAGCCCAGCTAATTTTATTTTTTTGTACAGATGGGGTCTTGCTACGTTACCCACACTGCTTTCAAACTCTTGAGCTCCAGTGATCCTCCCGCCTCAGCCTCCCAAAGTGCTGTGGATTATAGGCATGAGCCACCGGGCCCTGGCTCACAGACCGCCCAGGAAGCTCTCCCAGGAGGGCAGTGTCTCAGGTCCTCAGTGCCTTATACTCCACTGAACCCGGCAGCTGCTGTGTCAATATTTGAAGATGGAGGCAAACACAGAGCGGCTGCATCTCATGAGGATTTGAGGAGTGCGGAGAAGTGGCTCTTGGCACTCCGGGGAGTAATTTGGGGTCAGTTTCTGGCCCAGTATTGTCTCTGGAAGCACTGCAGGATGTGTAGTCTTATCCTTGGGGTCAACTCTAAAGGTCAAGTGCATGTGCAAAATTATGGACAGTCACGTGTGCAGCTTGCTCACTTTTGCCCCAAGCATCTATCTCTTCACCACCGTATGACCTCGGCATGGGGCGCCCGGCCATCCAGGGAGGCTGAGGAGCAGGGACCCTGGGCTGGAGCCTCAGATCCATGGCTCGCTGCCTCTGGGCAGGTCTCAGCCTCCCTTGGACTCAGAACCTTCTTCCACGCTCGACTTTCCCAGGGATTGACTCCGGTTTCCCGAGAAGCTGCACCGGGGTATGTCTGGGTTGGTGATGTTGTGTGACGCCCGTGTGTGTCCTTTGTGTAAATCAGTGGCTGGCCCTGGGGACTAGAGATGTCTAACCTGCTTGACTGGTAAGCACATCCGGTGCTTCCCAAAGTGGATTCTGTTGTACCCCAGGGTGACGGACAAGGATGCCCATGTCCTAACCCCTGGGACCTGTGAACGCACTGGTCTCCAAGACAAAGGGACCTTTTCAGCCTCCATCTCAAAAAAAAAAAAAGAGAGAGAGAGAGAAAAGCTCCCCTAGTCCACCCAGCTGGCCAAAGATGTGGCTGAAGGGCTGAGGTTGGAACCCACCCAGCAGTGACAGCAGAATGCGAACACTGATTTGTCACCATCGTATGACCAGGGAGGCACAGCCTCACCTCTCCCGTGGGTCACTGGGACTCAAGGAAGCCCCCGCCCCTCAATCCGGCAAACCTGTTTTTTAAAAGGCATGGCATCCCCACTAAACGTCAACTTCATGGCTGCTGGTTTTTTTTTTTTTTTTCTCAGAATCAAAAGGCCCTGTTCTGACTTTGCCTTTGAAATTATGCGACTAGGAGTCATGCATGCAATTTGAGATTGGCAATCATCGTGGAGGCTTGGGAGTTCCTTGGGAATGAGAAAATCTAACCTAGGAGCTGTTTTGAAATGTAATGAAATCTTTATGAATACAAAATTTAGCAATTGGTGAAGTTGACACATTTTTGTAGCTGTGGAGACATTTCATAAGATCTTAATTCTATTTTTTTTTCTTTCTTTTTTTTTTTTTTTTGAGATGGAGTTTCACTCTTTCACCCAGGCTAGAGTGAAGTGATGCGATCTCAGCTCACTGCAACCTCTGCCCGCCAGGGTTCAAGAAATTCTCCTGCCTCGGCCTCCCGAGTAGCTGGGATTACAGGCGCCTGCCACCACGTCTGGCTAATATTTGTATTTTTAGTAGAGACATGGGTTTCCCCATGTTGGCCGGGCTGGTCTCGACCTCATGACTACAGGTGACCCACCTGTCTCAGCCTCCAAAAGTGCTGGGATTACAGGCGTGAGCCACCGCGCCAGGCCATAAGGTCTTCATTCTGATCCTGCCGTTTTCTTTCTGTATGGCTGGAGCTGGTCATTTCCTCACCGGGACCCCCTCCAGACCTCTGGCATTGCATTTTGCCAGGGCCCCTGTGAAACGTGAGTACCCGAGGCTTTATTCCTATAGGGCTCCCCAGGGCCTGCCAACATGTATTAAGCATTTACTGTATGCCAGGCTTTTTAGGTGGATTAACTAATCTTTGTAAATATCCCATATGGCAACTACAATGATTACTCCCTTCTTCCAGTTAAAGCAGCCAAAGCAGAGAGTAATTATGACCTGCCCATGGGCAGGCAGGTAGTGAGAAGGCTGGGTGCCAGGCAGTTGGCTCCTAAACTCACTCTCAAGAAGCTCCCTGTTTCTGCCCCAGTGGCTCTCATTCCTGTGATGCCCCACCGCTCCCCTTCCCCTTTAAAAATGTCTTTTAAATAATGGGAAATATAACAAAATTCACCACCAAATGGTATACAAGGCCAGGCACGGTGACTCATGCCTGTAGACCCGGCAACTTGGGAGGCCAAGGTGGGAGGATGGCTTGAGTTCCAGAGTTCAGGGCTGCAGTGAGCTATGATCGCACCACGGCCCTCCAGCCTGGGACACACAGTGAGGCCCTGTCTGGCAATAAAGGGAATTGGAATCTTTGTGCAGTGCTGGTAGGAATGTATAATGGTACTACCACCATGGAGAAGCCTGGCTATACTTTCAGAAGTAAAACACAGGAGTTACATGTCAGCACAGGACCCAGCAATCCCAGTCCTAGGTACATGCACAGGAGAATGGAAAACAGGTGTTCAAACACATACACATCCATAAATGCTCGCAGCAGCGCGATTCACACACAACTGCCCAAAGGGAGGATATATCCATCAGAGCATCTCCTTTTCATAACACATATTTTGTTCCACCCACCTTTTCTCTCTTGAAGTAAGAGTTAATGTACCTACACTCAATTATTAAAGAAACAGGCCAGGTGCGGTAGCTCGCACCTGTAATCCCAGCAGTTTGGGAGGCCGAGACGGGTGGATCACCTGAGGTCAGGAGTTTGAGACCAGCCTAGCCAACAGGGTGAAACCCCGTCTCTACTAAACATACAAAAATTAGCTGGCCGTGGTGGCGGGCACCTGTAATCTCAGCTACTCGGGAGGCTGAGGCACGAGAATCGTTTGAACCTGGGAAGCAGAGGTTGCACTAAGCCCAGATCCTCGCCACTGCACTCCAGCCTGGGTGACAGAGTGAGACTGTGTCTCCAAAGAAAAAAAAGAAAGAAAGAAAGGGGAAACCAGAAGCCAGGACGCAAACACGCTCACAGGAAAAAGGCCCCATGAAGACGGAGGCCGAGACTGGGCGATGTGTTTACAAGCCAAGGAACGGCCGGAGGCACTCGGCAGCTGTCAGAAGCTAGGAGGCTCAGGACGGATTCTGCCACAGAGCCTGGGAAGGACGCAGCCCTGCCCACACCCAGATCTCACACTCCCGGCCTCAAGAACTGAGAGCCAATGAGCTTCCTCAGCCAGTTTATGGTGCTTTGTGACAGCAGTCCCGGTAACTCAAGTGTTTCGTTTCTGCGTGGAACAGAGCTGGTTCCAGGCCTGGCTCGCAGGAAAGGGCAGGGCTCTTCTGCCCCCGCAGGATGTCCAGTGGGATTGGCTCCCTTTCCAACTCCCATGGGGCGGCCTGGCAGTTGTTGAGCTGCTGCTTTGTAGTTCACGAGGCCACACCCATCTCCAGGAAGGTGCTCCGTGACCAGATCTCAAAACAGGGCCTGCTCCCAATCCCAGGCTGCCTCCTCAATGCAGGCTGAGCCTACCTTTTATTGCCCAACAGGGAAGCTCTTAACCCCGATTTCTAGACTCTGGCTTGTGGGGTAGACAGGCAAGCCACAAAGGCCCCCGTGTGCAACAAGGAGGTGGCGTTGCGCCCAGTCCACCTGTCACTGGAAAACGACTCCAGAAGCCGCCGTTGGGGAGGCTCCCGAATGCGTTCACGCAGGCTCAGGCCTAGACAAGACGCCGAGAGCCAGGGCCAACCTGCCTTTCATGCTCCGGTGTCTGCAGCAAGCTGCGCTGGATTTTCAGATGGCTTTCTTAAAACTTAGCTTCCCAGTGGGGGAATGGGGAACTCCAGCAGAACCGGCAGTAGGAGGAGGGGCCTGTGGGTGGCTGTCCTAGATACAGAGGGGAGGGAAAGAGGTCCCCAGTAGGTGGCCCTCCCAGTTAACTCTCACCACACCACCACACCGGGCTGGGTTGCCCCTCCTGCCAAGAGGGCACCAGGCAGACCCCATGCACCATCCTCTGCCCCAAGACGCCTGCAGCCCCCGCCCTTGGCCAGCATCAGCTCCGCTCGTGTACCCATTCTGAAGAGGACAGCTGCGCTCACAGTGGTCGGCCCCTGCAGGGACCTGGCACGGAGGGCTGCGCGCATGGGCTGGCAGCCTGCGGGCTACCCTGGCGAGTGAGGTGCCTCGTCCGGCACAGTCTTTAAGGAAGCAAGTAAGCGTCACACTCAAATGCACTTTTGCAGACAAACAGACATTTCCAGAAGAACAGAGGGACTAGCTCTACCACCTGGGCCCATTGCCGAGTCAGCACCGTCCCACTCCTGTCCAGCTGCTGGCAGCAGGCACTGAGTGGACACACTCGGCAGCCAGCGGAGGGCGGGCCCACCACACACGCAGCCTTCCCGAAAGAGCCCACCACACACCAGCATGGGACACAGCCCCATACTGAGGTGGCAGGGGGAGGGCTCCCCAGGGCCTGGCACGCCTTCACCACTACCCACGCAGAGACAGGCTTGGTGTAAAGGGATTGGTCTGAGGGCCCCACGGTGCACAGCACCCCCTGAAGAATTCCTAGTTCCCACGGGCTGACTCCTCATCCTCAGTTTCATCATCCAATGATGGGGACCTGGACGCCCCACTTCCTGGGGCGGTTATGAGAATGCAGTAGGATGATGCAGGCAAAAGACTTTGGCAGCGCCTGGTAGAGCCAACAGTCAACATGCGGTCACACCACTGTGCCCAGGGTCGGTCCCATCCCGAGCTCTGTGGCCACGAGGACTCACGCACGTGCACACGCACGCAAGACTGCGAATGGTAAACTTTATTAATGGAAAATGGAATGCCTCGTTAACAGAAACCTTGATTTAAAAACGGCAGAACAAGAACACATTTATTTAAAAAAAAAAAAAGTGAGTTCACATTGTATTGAGCTACAACACGGTGGCAGGATTTGCTTTGCTTTTAAAAAGATCCCCCAAGTTCAAGGGAACCCTGGCTACCAGATTCAACAGTGCATCTGCCCACCTGAAAACTCGCAGTGAGTGGGACTTAGTAGCGGCGGGTGAAGTGGGGATACGGGGGGGGATGGGGGTGTGGGTGCGGGACTCTGCTGCCCCGGTCCTGGCTGGCCACTCCGCCACCTTCCAGTCCGCCACCTGGCACCACGTGGCCCTGGGAATGTCCACCTTGTGCAAAGCCGCCTCGCCTAGGAACAAAGTCAGACATTTTTTCCCCTTGAAGTGCTCAGCGTTTTCATCGTAACATGGGTTCAGTAACGGTCCCGCAGCCTTTAGAGCGCTTGGGTTTTTTTTCCACGTGAGAAAAATCATCACCACACATTGTATTCCAGGTAACTGAAGAGCGTTATTTGAATAAATTGCAAAGAGCTGCTTTTTGCTTTGTTTTCAAAACATCCAACCCAGCCAGCTGATCAAACATGCAAAAACGGGAGAGGAAGTGAGGAGCAGGAGCAAACCACTGTCCTCCTCGGACAACACGCCTTACCCCGCCACTCCACCGCGGCTTGCCATGTGCCCCGGCCCCGAGGGCCCAGACAGGCCCCTCTCGCCACCTAGAAGAGAAGAAGGGTCTGCAAACACTCCATCCCTGGGGAAGCCCCTGGACACGTGTGGGGGCCACAGCCACCCTCGTCCCCGGAGCCAGCCCCATACCTTGCCACCTGGCGTGCTCCCGGCTGGCCGCGCCTGCGTCCATGGTACCCTGCCAGGCACGCGCCTGGTGCTCCTCCAGCCGCTGGTTGTGCTCTCCCCAGTCACGGCCACCCCTTTGCCAAAAAAAAAAGCAGACATGCAGCCGTCTGATGAGCCTCCAGGATCGCGCTGGGAGCAGGCGCATCCACCCTGACCTCAGCCGCGTGGCGGATCATGCCATACAGCAAGGGCTGCAGACGAGTGGGCAAATCATGGGAAGTGACATTTCCCCAAAAACTGACGTGCCAGTAAGCACGTGAGAAGGGGCTCAACGCCACCTGGAAATGCCAATCCAAGGCACAGCGAGACACTACCTCCCCCGGGCTGGGATGCTAGAATCACACAGTAACACGCACCATGGAGGATGCGAGGAAAGGGAAGAACCCTCGTCCACTGCTGGTGGAAATGTAAAATGGTGTGGCCACTGTGGAAAACAGTTTGGTGGTTCTTCAAAAAGGTAAGGGCAGAATTACCACGACCCAGCAAACCCAGTCCCACCTGATAGAAATGAAAACGTGACCAAAGACATCTGTGCGTGAATGTTCCTGGCAGCAGGATTCCTAACAGCCAAAGGGAGATGGGCCCCAACGCCCAAGAACTGATTAGCAGATAACACCATGTGGTGTGTCCGGACCATGAACTGATTAGCAGATAACGCCATGTGGTGTGTCCGGACAATGGAGTGTTCAGCCTTAACCAGGACGGAAGCGCTGGCCCAGGCAGCATGTGGAGATGAGCCCTCAATACATGAGACTTAGGGAGAAGCCAGGCCCAGCAGGCACACCGCGCAGGCCAAGAAATGACTCAAGACAGCAAATCCAGAGCCAGAAAGGAATCCGTGGCTATCGAGGGCAGGGGAGAAGGGGGTGCGGCTGCTAAGAGGAGCAGGGTTTCTTCTGACATGATGAAAATGCTTCGGAATCGGCCTTGGGGATGGCTGCACAGATCCACGCACATGCAAACCTCCAATGACTGCACACGTGAAACGGGAAGTACGTGTCCTGTGAATTATACTTCAAGAAAGCTATTTTTTTTAAAAGTTTCAGACAGAAACTCTGGGAGATGAAAATCTGAGTCCCGTGTCCTGAGTCCTAAGTGGCCGTGCAGGAAAGCAGCCAGACCCAATCTGCATGAGTGTCTGCCTGCTGTGGGTTGCCGGCTGCAGTGACAGTCAGGCCAAGTCAGCCCACAGGCCCGAGAGGGGTCATCGGAGCCCCCAACACACACCTGCCAGGCAAGCGCAATACCGCCCTGGAGGGAGTGGAAAGCACGCGTGTGGCACCTGCCCTTGGTGACCCGAGCGTGCCCAGCCACTGCTCACTATGTCTTTGGTTCTGAGTTTCCCATTTACATTCCCAAGTTATTTACCACAAAACCCACTAAGTGACAGGACAGGAATGCTAATGAGGTCACCCAGAACACTTTACACCAACTGATCAGAGCACTGCCACCGTCTGTGCTGCCCAGAGATGCAGGAGAAGCTTCAGGTGGGACACTTGGCACGGCTCCGAGTCAAAGTCCCTGGCAGAGGTGGAAGAGCCTCTCAGCGTAGAGGGAGGGATGGACAGGGGAGCAAAGGGGACCAAAACCCACAATGCGGCAGTGGGCAGGGGCCAAGGCAGCCCTGGGCCGGGGCTGGAGACAGACAGGACACTCATTTCACAGAGGAAAGCAGGGCGGCAACTGCAAAGTGGTCCTGCCACCAGCCTCCTCACGGCCAGTCCAGGCAGCAACAGGGCAAACAGGCAGGGGTGACCGCAGCTGGCCAAAGAAACCAGAGAGGCACCCAGAGTCCTCCCAGACAAGCCCTGTACCCCAGTAATGCTGACGAGACTCAGGACAGCCTCCACAGCTGCAGTGCTGGTGAAGGTGGCTTTGAACACCTATGGAGGACCTGGCCTAGTGTCCTCAGCCCTGAGTCCTGGGGGGAAGGTCCCCATAAGCGATTCTAATAGGCAGGGCAGGGTTGAGAAGCCCCACCCCAGACCAACTAGGGGTCAGAGAGAAAACCCGAGGAAGACACATGTAAAGAGGCAACGTGGCGGCAAGGGCAAGGCCACTCTACCACGGACGGGGCAGGACTGACAGCTTCTGCGCTGTCTCTCCCAGTGGGAACGCAGCCCCTGTGATTGAGACATTTATAACTGCAGGCGCTCCCCAGCTCGGGAATGGGGATGGGCCATTCTGGACGATCTGGACAGCTCCACCCCTGAGAGCCTGTTCTGCGCTTTCTTCTTGAGAACCTGGACTTTCTGAGTCAGGAGTTTCAAATGGCAGGACCCGTGGTAGTCCATCCTAAAGCTGCCCTAGCTGAAATCAAACCTTGGGGACATGCCCGGCCAGGCACCAACCTCTTCCCAGGCTAGGACAGATGCTCCCCACCCGACTGGGGCTCACTCACTAACCTGGGGGGAGGGGGCAGACCCCGGCCTTCACTCAGCCTCTTGTCGGAGCCGTAGCCCCCCCAGCCATCACGGGAGTCCCGGCCGTGGCGCTCTGGGGGTCCTCCGTGGCCATGGCGGTCATCTCCATAGTGCTGGAAGGCAGGAGAGGGACAAGGTGACACTGACCACGTCACCCACATAGGCCCACCTTCCAGGAGGACTGTCTACCGAAGGCCCCAGGGCAGCAGGTGGGCCAGAGCCAAGAGAAGACGGCAGGGCGAGGCCTCAGCCCTGGTGGGCCCTGCTTCGCTGACCCTCTGCTCCCTGGCTCCCCTCCTCGCACCCCTACAGCTGCATCACTGCCGTGAGCTGCCCCAGGAGCGTGGGGAGCCCTAGTGTTACTGCCCGCAACAGCTCTGCTCAAGGTCCACTAAGATGTCACCGAGCCCTGTCTTCCCTGAGGAGCTGGGCACTGCCTCCTTTCTGATCACAGGAGTGCCCTCGGGCAGGTCAGCACCCCTGTGCTCTGGCGGGGCCACACTTCCAGCCTTCCTGGCCAACCAACTCTGCACAGAGGAGCCAGCAGTCACGAAGCAGGCAGGTGCTGCCTGTCGCCATAGGCCATTACTCTGCCACCCAACTCCCACCTCTCCACCAGGCTGCTGCCTTCTCAGAACTCACACCCTGCCACCACGCACGGGGCACCCGCATGGCACCACAGAGATTTAGGGACCACTCTTGTGGTCTTCAGCCCCCAGTGCCCACCCAGCATGGACTTGAAACATGGAGAATCCCAGGCTCCCCATGCCCCTGACCCTGGCACATGTGGGCTAAATGACAATCACCATTTGGGTTCCTAGGGGCATGCTACAGGCACCAAGACCCAAAGGCTTCCTGAGCAAGTGGACAATGAAGAGACACTTGAGGTTTCTACTGGATAAAATGAAGAACAAGCCCGACATATTTGAAAATGACAGAAACTTGCACATTAAAAAACAATCAAATATTTGCACAATTTTTTTTTTTTTTAGACAGTCTTGCTCTTGTTGCCCAGGCTGGAGTGCAATGGTGCGATCTCAGCTCACTGCAAGCTCCGCCTCCTGGGTTCAAGCAATTCTCCAGCCTCAGGCTCCTGAGCAGCAGGGATTACAGACACTTGCCACCATGCCCGGCTAATTTTTTTTTTATTTTTAGTAGACACAGGGGTTTCACCATGTTGGCCAGGCTGGTCTCGAACTCCTGATCTCAGGGTTTTTGCTGGAATTGGCGCCCGTTTACAGAATCCCCAGCTTGCCTCATGGGAATCGCGCATCTCCAGACAGTTGTTCCAGAGCGTGGCCAAGGAGGGACTGGGTGGGAGCGCCCCCCACACCGAGCCTCTGCTTGTGAGCAAGGATGTTTGTCACAAAGCTTGTTCTGGGTTTCATAGCGTCCTGGGAAGGGTCTCTCCATAGCTGGGCTCCCCCTCTCCGTTGGCGCGGCCGCTCAAGGAGGAGGCGTGACCTGAGGGCACTGCTGGGCTTGGGGCTTTCGTGCCTGGACAACCAGGCACGAGGCTTCTCTGGCCCGAGACGCTTACTACAGAATTGATGGCAGGGCGTGGCAAAATTATCTCATGAGGCCGCTTTCTTGCATTATCGAGCGGGTCTGGGGTGGGCCTTTTTAGCCTTTTGAAATGAGCGAGTACATCTATTTTTTTTATTTTTTTTTTATTTTTATTTTTTGAGGACGGAGTCTCCGCTCTGTCGGCCCAGGCCTGGAGTGCAGTGGCCTGGGACTCTCAGCCGTCACTGGCAAAGCCTCGCCTCCCGGGTGTTTACACGCCATTCTCCGTGCCTCGCCTCCCGAGTAGTCTGGGACTAACAAGGCGCCCGCCACCCTCGCCCGGCTAGAGTGTTTTTATTCTTTTAGTAGAGACGGGTTTCACCATGTTACGCGGAGGATGGTCTCGATCCTCCTGACCCTTGTGACAGCCCTCGGCCCATCTCCAAAGTGCTGGGATGACAGCTTGAGCCACCGCGCCCGGCACATCTTTTATTAGAGCAAGACAGCATCTTTGTTTTATCCAGTTTAAAAGTCCT